TCTGATTTCTTGATAGCTGTTTCCTTCTTAACTAATGACCTAACTGAGATATAGGGAACCTGACTATTTCAAAGTCTATTATTCACTTGAAAGTTTTGTAAGTTGTCTGTAGTAGTACTTCTTTTTGTTTCCTTCCTATGCAGTTTTAGACTTGCTTTTGAACATTTCCTCCTTAACTTTCACCAATTGTCCTTGCAAGTCCTTGCTAATTTTAGCAACTAATATAGTTCATAGAATCACAGAAACATAGAAGTGGAAGACATCATGAGAGCTGTCCAGTCCAACCTCCTGTCATGCATATGGCAAATATGTCAAGGTATGTCAGCTGCGTATCATAAACTGTTGATAGAGCTAAACCTTGTCCTCAAATTCAGCTTAACAACTTGGATAGCTTCTTGAAAGTTCAGATTACAACTAAGGATGGATTCACTGGCCCATGGCATGGGAATCATTGTTCACCATAGTCCGGAATCTCAATGGAAAGATCTAAAAACCAGGACTGGAAACATAACTCCTACTTTCAGATGGTAGCTCAGTTGCCATGTTTGAAGCAAGCTGCAGTTTCCAAGCAGTCTTCTTCTAGCTAGACCTTGCCTATTTGCCAACCGCAGCCACCACAAAAGATAAAGAAGGGAGTAAATATACAGATCAAATGAATACACCTACCTTGGAAACACAACAATGTTATTGGAGCGTGAACGTGGAGAAGAAGCATCACCGCCTGACAACACTGAATCTCCTGTCCCAGGCCTCTAAAGCCAAAAAAGATGGAGTCAATACAGCTTTTGGCAAATGTATTCATTACCTAGAGGAGCATTCCTCTGGGTTGCTGTGAGCTTTCTGAGCTATATAACCATGTTCCAGAAGCATTCTCTCCTGATGTTTTGCCCACATCTATGGCAGGCATCTTCAGGCGTTGTGAGGTCTGTTGGAAACTTGGCAAAATCTGTGGAAAGTCCAGGGTGGGAGAAATAACTCTTGTCTGTTTGAGGCAAGTGTGAATGTTGCAATTGGCCAGTTTGGTTAGCATTGAGTAGGCTTGCAGCTCCAAAGTCTGGCTGCTTCCTGCTTGGGAATCATACAGAACTTCAGATATTGTTTGTTTATTTATTTGTTTGTTTGTTTACTATATTTTATATCGTCCCTCTCAGCCTGCAGGCGACTCTGGGCCAGTCCCATCTGAAATGCCAGTCCCATCGGTCATGAACCCCATAGCCTATGGGGAAGAATGCTAGGAATTGCAATCAAATGGCAGTGGGAGGATTGGATGATTCCCATCCTCATTTGAGAATTTTTTAATCCACTGGAACATACAACAGATTGGGTTTCTTGAGTTTAGAAAAAAATTCTCCACCAGGCATGGAATGGCCATTGTGGAGACCTCAATGGATCTACTCTAGGTCTTTGTTGTTAACTGCCAACAAGTCAATGCTGACTATAGCAACACAATGAATAAGAGACCTCAAAGTCGTTGTATCATCAACAACCTTGCTCAGGTCTTGCAGATGCAGGGCAATCATGGATTCCTTGACTGAACCCATCCATCTGGAAGATGATCTCTCCTATCTTCTTCTTCTTACTATTATTATCATTATCATTATTGTCTTTTCTAGTCTCTGTGTGTGATAAATATCTCAGTGTACCAGCAATTCAACTTGCAAATTTACTATGAGATGTTGGACTGCAGACTTGGCTTAGTCACTTTGTGATCAACCATGAGGAATTGCACAGGATAACAAACACTTTACACTATAGTACAGATTTGATATGAATCAAATGTTCCAGAATGAAATTACAAACCTACATTTGAAAGAGCTTTGAGAAGACGCCCACTTCCATCCATGGCCTGCAGGAAGTCTTTGTAAAACTTCATCTTCACCTTGTTGTCCCGAACGATCAAAACGCCAATTCCTTTGAAGGTGAACTCAACCGGCTGCTTGGTGGCAATAGACCGTGAGAAAGACAAGAGTGTCTCTCGGATGCATCCTTCCACAATCTCCCTGTTAAACGGGCCCTCCAAGGACAACACAATGAAATTCAGATGAACAATTGGGATATCACCTAGAGGAAGATAGTATGGAAATGAAAGTAGAAAGCAGTACATCAGATGGATTAATATGTCAAAAGAATAGTAAGTCTCCTTCAGACATTTAGTTTGACTCCACTGCTTTGTGTTCAAGTCTTTGAAACAGCATACACAAACTTTGTCCCTCCTCAATATTACACCTTTTCAAATATTTCAACATTGTTATCACATCCCCAT